GGTCAGCGCGCTGGAGCGGGGGGCGCTGGTGAGGCCGTGGGTGAAAATACGGTGCTCCTGCTAGAAAAGCCCGTCAGGTTTTACAGAGGGAGGGCGGGAGGAAGGCGAAGCGCTCTGCAGCCCACGCCGCTGTGGGGCGCAGATTCCTTCACGCTGAGGGCGCCATTTCCTGCACGGCCTCTCCCAGGCCCCCACCCAGCGCGGGGGGCAGCTGGAGCCCAGGCCCGCTCCGCTCGCTGATCCGGCGAAAACCCGGCCCCGACACCAGAGCGTTACCTCGCTCGTCAGCCAAGGTCAGATGTGGTGAGCTAAATCGTCTCCACAAAGGGGGCTGACAGGCACCGCGACATGCACTCTAGGAAAAATGTGTCCCACATCTCCTATCGTCAATGGAATGGATGTGCTACATTCTTCTAGTGCCTGCACTTGTTAACGTAGCTAAGCAATGCCACAATAAAAAAAATGGTTTATACGGGACACATCATTGCTGTATGCCAGTGCTCCCCCGGAAAGACAAATTAGTTCTAGCCATTGCCCCTGCTCACCTCATGACATCCAGTGTCAGTCCTTCCCTCCCTAGTCATGGAAATTGCGTTGGGTTTTTTTCCTGAGATACATACATAGATCTTACATACCTTCTTCACGCAACCCTCTACGTTCAGGTTATAGTAGGGAAGTTCATCAAAGAAGGAATTATCAGGTGCACCTCCAGGAGAATTTAAGCCCTCTTCCTATTCATGTGTTCTCAGCTAAAACATTGTATACCGGTAAGTCAGACTGATTTCCACCCATGTAAAGTTTTAACTGGTAAACATAACTTAAAAATGAAAACCAGAAGTCTTACATAAAATCAATTGTATTTTTATTCAGCTCTTCAGAGAGTTTTAAGATTAACTACATCTATTCATTAAGCCCTTACTTAAAGGCTATCCAAATAATACTGTCCTTTTTAAAACAGGTAAGTTATCTAGTAAATAAAAAAATCAACCACAAATAAGAAACCCTGTGGTATATCTTTGGAAGAAAATGTCTTGTAATGCATGTAAGACCTTGAATATTTATATCTCAAATATCTCAAAGTCAACATTTCTTAAGAAATGGCACTCAGAACTTGAGTCAGTTATGACTTACTGAGGTTCAGCCTGACTGGAATGGTCTGCAGCTGCAGTCTACCAAGTTGCAACACAACAAAAATACTCACACTGAAGTGATCACCTAATAACCTGGTATTCTGGTTTGAAGGTATGGCAAGCCTCATGGTAAGCAGCTGTGTTCACATGGATTCAGAATACATCCTGCTTGGAAAAAATGCCTTTTTTGGGTTAGCAAACTATGTTAACCTAAAAAATTGACACAGAACATATTTTGCCAGTATTTTCTGGAATGCTACAATTACAGAAATAACACAACTGTGGAAATAAATAGCCTCAGCCCATGTTTTCAGAAACACCTGTTCAGCTGCAGCACATAAGAAAATTTGGGCTATACATGCATACACACATATGGGGTATTTATACTGACCCTGTGCACCCACATATAGATTGTCTTACTGTAATGACGTTACATTTATAGAACGTACTTCAGATTACTAACATTGCCTACCCACAGGTCAGTGATGTGGAAAAGCATACACACAGTTGAAAAAGCAACACTAAATCACTAATAATTCAAGAAAAAATTTTAAGTAAATATTTTAGCCCATCACATTACTTGGTTCATTTTTTTCTTAGAAAAGTGCTGTAAAAAGACTGATTCTAAACCCTATCCATATGTTTAAGAAACGTATAAAGATTGGGTGGGAGGCAATGTATTTATTTTTGATGCAGAGAGAGATCTGCTCTAGAAACAGCCATATACATGCATATGGTTCTTCGGACGATGACCTGAAGCTGTCACAAAGACAAATGCCTATTTTTGTACTCTATTAATTTTCATGTTCAGTGATTTATTGAAGACAAATAAGATATCACATGGCTGTGCAGGGAGAAGTCACAGTTTGTTTTTCTTCTGTCTCTAAGAATACATCATATGGATTTTTAACAAGTTGATTCTCTAACACAGCCTTTAAGAAGCTTACAAACTTTGGAGGCATGCCAGATTAAGAATTTAAACTTGGGAAAAAATGCTTGTTTTAAGGAATTTAAGCCAGGCACTATTATTAAAAAATAATTTTATTTTGGTAATTATTACTAAGTTTTCTGAGAGGCACTTCTGTGGATAGAGCACTACCATTGAAAGATGCAAAAGTATTATACATTCATGACTGATACTCTGTCGTACTGTTATATTGGCAAAAGAATTAATATGAAGAAAAGCAAAGTTCCACTGAAATGAAAACTTATAATCAATTCAAAGCAGATTTCTGTAAAGAACTCCACCACTGCACAAGCAATTAGGAGACTAAAGCTCTTACTATTTGAGATACTATTGGCAACTGACCTGCTTTTCTTGTATAAAACCCATCCGCAACTACATGCACCTATTATCTAAGTTTCTCAAGGCCTTCACACATCTTTACAGTAAATATTTTTTCTCCGAACAGGAAAAGAGCTGTAGGAATTGAATGACTGTCAGTGGCAAAACTGCAACTCCAAAATCCTACCCTCTCTTCTGCAAATATTTGAAGGACCACATCCATTGTATCTGTGCCACATTATGTAAACTTTCCAGAACTAAATGGTACAAAATGCTTATTTGTAAAGGCTGCTGTGTAGTGAGGAGGTGCATGTCAGGTGACACCACCCAGCCTTGTAAGAATCTTCCAGCGGTTAAAAAGTGCTGCAGAGATCATTTCAAACTCCCAAATAACTTTCCCACAGAAGTACTGGAAAACATTTTAAATTCAATCACTGATCAGCTCCTTGATTTTTCATTAATTTTCAGACTTGTCAAGAAATCTGTCTGAAACTCAGGAGTTCAATTTAATCCTATTCAGATGAAGACGGACATGCTGCTTAAGATCTCTTTGGGAAAGAGACGAATCCAGCCTCAGTGTCAAATTTTCACTCTACACAATCCAAAATAAAAGACAGTGAAAAAAAGAAAAATCGCCCTTATTAATAGGTAGTACAGCTAATTGCATAGTAAACGTTGTATATGTAACCACTGAGATATGCTCAAGCAATTAGTGTCCTTTGACCCAAACAGTTTGGACTTTCATAAGTGCATGTTATTAAAGAAACCAAAACAAAAAACCCAACACCAACAATGTAACATACATGTTAGCTCTCAAATGATGTTGTCAAGTCTGTTCTCAACTCCTTATCCCTCTCCAAAACCTGGCCTGCAGCCACATTCATAATCATGTCCTGGCTGGCTGGCTCGAAGCACCGTTCGGTGCACTCACCACGCAACCTGTAGCTAGGCTCAGACTCTAATGAAATCTTTCATGGCTGCGCTTCCAGTATCGGTAGCATTTTTAGCATCCTGACACCTATTCTTGCTCAAAGCAGTTGCCTGTCATAGTAATCAGGATGCTTTCATGTAATCACTGGCGTATCATCTATGCTAGTGACTTACTGGTATGATCCTTCTGATTACACAGGTGGCAGGTATTAGGGCTTTTATTCTCCTAGACCAAAGCATTAAAATATTGCTTTCTCTCACTAGGTGACCCACCTGTCTGCCTGAGGTTACTACCCCTCTAAGACGGACAACCCAAGCAAGCAAATACCTGCATCTCAGCCCCTGCAGTGCGCAGGTCAGTGTAAAAACTCACGCATTCTCGAGTAGCTTGAGCCTTTCCACCAAGCAGTATGTCAAATAATTGTTCATTGAAGGGTGCAATGAACAGCTAGAATACTAAGCACTGCATTTAAATCTCTCTTACATGTATAGGAAATACTTTGATTT